TGTTATTCGTGCTTCTAAAAATAAGTAAACTAAAACTGTGACAATATTATTCAAATTATTGAAATATCATGTTGGATTGTGATTCTGACGTTTGTATATCGTCCCAATAAGCTATGTCCGCTATTTCTAAATTTCCATCTTCTGTCAAAGTCAAAATTTGTTTTTCTGAATTATCCTTAAGTTTCATAGCTAAATCGGTATCGGAAGTAGACATCATCATCGCAGAATGTGTCGGAGTTTCATTGATTTCAACTGGTTGTAAGACACGCACATATATCGATGGACCAGTTGCGGAAGTATTGTCTATAATTTAAAGACATATTTATGGTAGCATATTCTCTAATTAAGATCGTTGTACCAGAAAAATGAACAAAGAACCATTTTACAAAAACTGTTGTTTTTAATTCTACATTCAATTCCTTTATATCACGGAAAATACAGAGTTTACATTTCTCTGAAAGTACTTCTATACTTATTACATTTGACATTTAAGGAAGTAAATATTACTATTTCGGGTAAAGTATTAAGAATGAGTATTATGAATTTTAAAATAAATTATTTTTTCATTTGTTCATTTCTCTGATTAGAGCCTTTAAATATAAGTTTTAAAACCTTACCAGGTGCTATAATATTTTGCATTGATAAACTCTGTGAATTTGACAATCTTATTATAGGTATATTTTCATTACGATTCGATATTTGCGATGGCGGACATGTTTCTATAGTCATAACTGGAACATTTTGGTGAATATTTTTTTCCAACATCGGAATATTTAACATAGTTTCATCGATTTCTTTTAAGGACGATTCTAAAAGGCATTTATAACTTAAGATTTATTGAGCAAATAGAACACATATTTATTATATCAAAAAGAAGGAATTGATAAAACCTGCTTGTTTATCTTGAATTCCAGTTTGATTACCCATGTGTTTTTTCATATTGCAATCATGAGGTTCCTGTTGACTCTCACAAAATATTTTTTGTTTGATGTGATCTTTTATGTGATGAACCATAAAGGAATTGTGAAGTGTAGTATATTGACATTTGTCACATTGCAACCATATATTATTCTTTTTATGCTTTGGTTTATCAATAACATTGGAAGATAAAACAATGTCTCCTCTTCTAGTTTCATAGTTACTTCCATGTCGATTGTTATACTTTGTAATTTGAGGTGGTTGAGAACGTCTTTGTTTCTTATTATTACCAAGAAGTTCTCCCTCTTTTAAAGAATATTTCTGTTCCAAGAACCGTAAAACATTATCACGGACATTACACATTTCAACATCAAGTCTATCAAGTGTGTTAATAAGATTAGCACAACTTCTACAAATTACATCGTCTTCTGATATTACCACCATGTATCTATGTTATGCAAGAAGAATTATTATAATATTATATTTACAAGGATACATAACTCTTTATTTCATATAATTACTAAGACAAGATATTACCTCTCACCAACTAGTTCTCCAAGTTTTTCTATTACTCTAATTCTTGATGCCTGTGTTCTACATGTAGCCAACGCATAATGACGCCCTTGGATTTGTGCATCACATACAAAGCATTGTAAATCTTCTAAAGATTTTGAATTGTTACTATTATCAGAATTAGCTACATTTACACTACTATTAACAACATCTTCAGAACAAATGTCATGCCGTTGTCCTATTGACAACATTGATGTTATACCTGCCATTTGATTAATTACAATAATAATAATTATAATTTGTTTAATTGGGAATACAGGTTAAGGTACAAAACAAGAAATGTGTGTAAGTAAATTCATTAACTGTAAGAAATCTCTATGAAATAAAAGATCGGAAATTTTCAGTTTTCTAAATATTGCGCTATACTTTTCTAAATCTAAATGTTCTTAATCGTAGTGATAGAAAAAGTGTATTCCAACATCTAAGCTTCTATCCACGAGTTTATTCTGAATATGAACATTTTATGATTATGTAATTATACAGCATGCAGTTTGAACCGTTCGAACTTCGGACTTTCGGACATATTATGCCATCTTGTGAAAATTAATCAAAATCACGATAGTGATAAAAATATTGGTGTATACATATTTATTGGGAAAGGTAAATGCGGTAAATAACACGATAAGATGTATATAATAATATTTATTATTACCTATAAATGACAAGTTCAATCGACTTATTATGCGCTCATTTACATTAATGATTAGAAATAGATATTTTTTTGTTGTTTCTCAACAAATTTGTGACGCACAAATAACCGCTACTTTTACACAACTATACTTAATATGCATATTATTCATGCATTAAATTCTTTTACAATTTTCATTAATAATTGTTACTTAAATGTACGTACACAGTACACACTTGAATTACAAAGGAATTGAACGCTGCATAGCTGATACCAAGTGTACATTTTTAGCAATTACAAAATTAAGCAAAGGAATTACTTAATTTATTTATGTAAGTGTATAGTTATAACTTCCAAATTAGCATTGTTTAGATTTACACATCTTTACAAATATTTTTACAACAAAGTCACCGAGAACAAAATATATTATACATTAACTGTTTGTAACTCGATTCAAAGTAATTATATGTTGCAAAATATTACAATGTCTTCGTATATATGAAATCCAGTATTACACGCTCTATTATTTGTGTTACAAATGTTTTTATAAAGAGATAGTAAAATCGCGTTGGGATATGATTGAAACATACTAATAATTCTTGGACTTTACATATCTATCTTTTCGGTTTTTATTTTTGTTTCTGGCTTTATCGTGTTTTCTTTCTCGTCTGTCTCATTCGTTTCACTTTCTTTATCCTTGCCAGAGTGTTGTTGTTTCTTATCAGAATTACGGAAACGATCATAACGAGAATCTTCATCATCGCTAGATTTAGCTGCTGCTTCTGCTTCCCTTAAAATTTCGCCCAGGTCTTTATCAACATCGTCCCACAACTTATCACCACCATCGCCCACGAAATCGTCATCATCATCTTCTTCTGGTTGTGCATTTTTACTATCCTTTATAATTTTCTCAGGCTCAACCGCCCCTTTTTGCTCGTTCACTTTACCAGATTCATTAGTATTAATGCCATCAGTTGTAGCTGCTGGTAACGTATTACTCGCAGAAGGTGGTTCTAAGTTAGTCGGAGATTTAGTACTTTCCGTATTATTCATAACGTTTAGCGTAGTAGTATTATTTGTCGATGACGATTGGAGATGTATTCGTTCTGCTTGCCTTCGCAATGCTTTGTCATCGTTATCACGTACATATCTGCATGTAAGATGTTAATAGATTTATTCTGGTTATTAGAAAATTTTTGAAAAATGCATGTTGACTAACACCGGTATGCAAGATAGAAAAAAAATTAATAATGTTTTAAATCCATACCGTTTAAGATGACTTCTTGTTGAGCAATGAAGAGCTATTGCCCTTTCACTATTTTCACTACGTGGTAGGTATACCTTACATAATTCACAGAACTGGACTTCGACGCGTTTTATGTATTCTGCTCCAACTTTAATCATTTGTTTGCTTTTAGGCTTCTTCTCTGCTTCGTTTGTACCTTCACTCTCCGGTTTTTCCTTCTTTTTCTCAGGAGACTCTTCATCTTCTGTCACATGAGTTATGTTCATACAGTAATTCTTACAGCGAAATAAAATTTACTTAAAAAGACAAGGAAAAAAATATACTTGATAATCCTACCATCAACATCACCTACAGAGTCTAAAGTCATGAAATTATCGAGATTAACTTCCTTGTCGTCCTCTTCGGGACCACTCGAATCTGCCTCTGCTTCACCATTACCAGCGTTCAATCTCTCTTTTAATGCACTTTTCCTCTGAAAATATGTACAAGTGTAAACATATATTTAAAATATATATACAATTTAACATCGTGATAGTACCTTAATGTGATCCAAAGAGCACATGTGAGTTTCAAAGAGCATCGGCGAACGGAATTGAATACGACAAGTACGACAAAATGGTGTGAGGAATCGTTTCATTTGACGATGGGAATCTGATAGCTGATGTACTGCTTTAAGAGAACGGTAATTGAGTTTACAAATTGGACAGAACATGGTACGCGAGGGTAAAGTACCACGGGCAGCATCACGAGCTTCGACACGTCTTTGTTCTTGTCGTTGTAATACGCGCATACGAGTCAAAGTTGCCTTGTGCCGTGAGGCGATTCGTCTCATCGCTGCACTGTGACGACCTGAATATAGATGTAACGAGTACTCTTTGAACGTTACACTACGATGTGCACAATGTGGGCAAGTCAGTTTAATAAATTTTCTGCCGTCTCTTCTACTGGGTAGCTCTTCCGAACCAGTAGTTCTACCGTGGTCTGTTTTATCGTTCTCATCTCTATCTTCATCGTCATCTCCATCATCCTCGTCATCCTAAAAATGCAAGTATCACGAATATCCATATAAAGTAGATAAGAATCGAAATGCATTTCACTTAAATTGATGAACCTTACCTCATGTTTATGATCATCATCATCCTCTTTCACTTCATCTTCCTTTTCTTCTTCGTCTTCAGTATTTTGTCTTTCTCGATCTTGTTTGTCCTTCTTTCGTTTTTCATCTTTTTTCTTTTTCTCTTCTTCTTCTTTTTCGTCTTCTTCCTCTTCATCATCGCGTTCATGCGGCTGAATTAATGTCGGTAAATATTACAGCAAGCATTGCCATTAACTGCACGTGATACGCATACAAAAAATAGGAGTGAACGTTATCAGCCATATGAAGTTACCTTTTCATCATCATCCCAATTACTTTTGTTATCATCATCTTCTTCATCATCGGAAAATTCAGCGTTAATAGCTTTGGTCATCTCTCTATCCTTGTCCTTCATGCTGGTTCCTGATCCTGTCTCCTTTTTACTTCCGGATAGCCTAGTAGTACCGCTACTAACGACACAGCAATTTTGTTTTGACTTACATTATTTCCCTTCGTCTTGTTCTGGTTCCTTTGTCTTTCAAAATTTTGTTTTCTTTTATAGTTGATATACAGCAAATATCGCGATAGTATATTTGTATTTTTTTTGTCTTTTATCCCCCTTAATGAATGCATTTCGTATTGCAATAAAGGTCTTAACTATTCAGCCTTTTTGCTCTGCATTGTGCTCTTAGGTTTCCGCATTTTCGCGTTTTAAAATGCGTGTAAGAAACAACGTTCTCATACTGGTTCTAACGGTAAGAACGATAAATAATGATCTCGTAAAGTACAAGTATTATAGTAGTTCTCATATCAAAAGTAATTACATTGTATTTTGATGATATACGTATTGTATTTATGTATATCAGAATCAATTCCCTCCTTTATATATTTATTTTATTTAGAACCCTGCGAAAAGTATTTGCCTCTCGGCAGTGGAATATTGGTTTCGTGCGATCATTTGTGTCATTTTATTTTACTTTTTTTATATATTTTTTGTTTTCTGTTACCATTTATATATCTATCATCATCTTGACTCTCAGGTCATTATAGTCAGATATAGTCAGTTCGTTTACTGACCAATAAGCAAGCAGGCTACTAGGACGGTATTGCGGTAGGTAAGTGATTTATTAATTAATTACCTCCTGCGCAATTTGGTTGTCATGCGCACACGCTGGATGTAGTCTCGCGATCGCGATCCTAGCAGCTTGCGTCGATAGTCGAGCGAGTGTAGAGTACGTTTGCGAGCCATGATGACGTCCGATCGAGAGCTTATGCGATGGAATCCACCCCCTCTGCTGCTGCCGCGAGTAGAAATGCGACCTCTGTAATTTGAGCTTTGATGCGATATCCGCCCTCGGCTCGAGGTATATCTTTGAGCAGGAGGTGCCATTTCACTAATTCGAGGGGGTGGTGGAGGTGCATAGCTCCGTGATGCCGAGTGACGATCCTCTGAGCGATGATACGAAGAAGCACGTTCGCTCTGTCTCTTGTCATCGTACACGGCCGAGGATGACGATCCCTTATTATCGTCATAAGGAGCTGATGCAGACGAACCACCATACGACGAAGAATACCTCTGAGAGCCGCTACCGCTACCTCCGCCCTGCCAAATCAAATTCAATTGTGCTCCTTCCCATTGTATCTATCTTTCATTCTTTCCTGCCCTTCTCTCTTTTACTCTATATACATCCTTCCCCTTTGTTCCCTCCTATCATATATATCCATAATTCCACACATTTTTATTTCTCTAATTCCATTCCAAATCGATTATTCTTTTGCACTCCCTCATTTATAGTGCCAATATCGTTTAGTACAAAATCATCCAATCTTGTACTGTTACGGTCACTACACCCATTCCCGTTGGATCACCATAATATACATTTACCTCGTCTAAGCTTGAAAATCACCTAAGTTACATTTTCTTTCGTATCTTAAATATGAGTAACTTTGCATACCGCTTTTTATATTAGAAACAATCTTTAGCTTTCAGAAACTATAATAGCGTTCGTATCATTTTCATTTCATAGGCATAATAGTAGCTCTGATCAGCGTCGGTTTGCTTGGAGATATCAAATGAATTGAACTTTGCACGATTCTGGATTAATTGCCGATAGACCTTTCCAATTTTAATGGCATAAAGACCGGTGTGTTTTTATACAGTCTCATTTGTGAAACACTGTTTCGTATAATGCTCAATGCTTCATGCACAGACAGATTGACCAAGAAATCAAATAAAACTAATAAAATTGTAGTTCTAATGTCACGCTCTCGTACACTTTCTGTAACGATAAAATTTATTTGAAAAATGCATGTTGTGTACTTTCATTGCTTTTTTTAATGTATCTCAGCACACATTCTAGTTTCGATCTGTAGATACTTTATTCAGATTTTTGTAAAACAAGTTCATGCTTCTCAGTCATTTTCAATAGAACGTAACACATATAAAATGCGTGTCCTTTACATTGGAAAGGTCTATGATTACTTGGACGTTATTGATAATTTACTTCTTATCCCAATGAACAGGTCTTAACTGATGTAATTTAGAAAATCGTATAGAGCAGTATTTGTACAGAGCATATTTGTTAACAATTTTTACGGTGCGGCAATGCAGGGATGCTTTCAACATTTCAATAATTGATCTGCATTATGCAGGAAACTGGGTCAGTTGCTGATATTGTTCTACATACAGAATTCGATACTGATGTAATTTCAGCATTGTTAAGATTCGTTTCTATATATCTATTCATCTGTTCGATGCGATATTTTTCAACTTGTTCTCAATATTTTAATGCAACTATGTGCAAACAATAATTAAGTACCATCTAGGTGTGTTTCATCTTTTAATTGTGTGATGTTTTCGCAGTGTTCCACCAGTAGTGTCCCAACGCAAAAAGAATGGGTGTTCAAGTAGCCGTTGGCTCGTCGCTTGAAAGGAAAGTATGACCACTTATGAATGCCTTGCCTACAGCTTTCTTTTTTATATTTATTTATTTGTTTGTTTAATGTAAATGTTTAGACGAACGTCCTGGAGATATCTTTCTATATGGAGTAAAAAATTTCAAATTTTACGTTATAGCTTTGCAACCGACATCTCTCAGGACCATCGTTTATTCATGCTGCATAATTAAAAAATTGAAAAACTTTGTGAAGCAGGGCTTTCACATAAAATGAAAAAAATTGTTCTTGACCACGGAGCACGGTAGGAGATTGAAACAAAATAGACTAATGCTTACACTTGAAGCATCTTACAAAATATAACTACGTATTTATGAAGTACACATACCTGATAGGAATCACTCCTCATTCTTTTTCGAGCAGAATCACTTGATGATCGATGATCATCTCTCGGTGGATAAGAATCCTAAACATAATAAATAACCAAATAATGATACAATCTTTCTGTATATAATCAACTTATAATTTTCATATAAATAAACATGAACTCACTCTTGGTCTTTTGTAACTATTATTATGTTCGCCTCTTCCTCCTCTACTAGGATATCTTTCAGATCCTCCTATTGGAAGTATCAATATTGTAATGTATGATTTATTATATAACTTTCATAAACTAAACGTTATCATAAAATCTTTTTATCACCTTTACATTAATAAGAATTATATATTATACAACATAAATAAATGGTCTAGAACTAACCAGTATCATATTTTGAACGAGAGTCATAGCTGGTAGTTGGATATTTAAATCTGCTTCCTCTAGATGATGAATAACCTCCTCTACTAGACATGTTCCCTCCTGCAGAACTGTTCCATTCATTTCCACTACTACCACCTCTTCCTCTGTAGGAACTGCCTCCACGAGAACTAAATCCACGGCCACGTGAACTCATATTGGAACTAAATCGAAAGCTAATATCAATGTAAGAACTGTATTCTCTATTGAGCAATATATTTTTTCAATAAAACTATTTCAGGAATGTAAAATATTGGTATAGTTAATTCTATGCAAGCAATAGTATCAATCCATAATACATGAGATACAAGCAACCATATTTTAAAAACCAATACTTGTAACCAATAGGAAAAGATTTATAGAGAAAGTATAATTGTAAAATTTGACTGGACAATAGTTAGGTTTATGTAATGTACATAATGGATATACGAACCTGCATTTATTGTAGCTGTAACTCATAATTATGACTTATAAATGGGTTATAGATGTCAGATTTGGTGTCAAAGGTCTATAGACAAAACAGGAAGGTTTATGTATAGAAATATATTTACATACATATAACTCCTAAAACTTAATTTTAAATGTTTTATCAAGACATATTGTTGAATATAATTTGTGAAATAAGATTCATGCAATGATGTTCAACATAATGTACAGAATAACTGATTATTTGAAGGAATTGCTAATGCTAGATGGATGAACCTTGTGTGCAAAGTACACATAGATATACGTATTCGCATTTAACAAATATTATAATTTTAGGACAGTAAGAATATTTCAAGAAGATGTTTACTACTTATTCAACGAAAACTAAGAATATTTTAGGCATAAAAATCAATAGTTTCTTTTTGTATTCTGTAAGTTAATGGCCACACTTTGTGAAAATTTCAGAATCAAAGTTTTATAAACAAAAACGTGATTCTAGTAACGAAGACAAAGCTTACCTTGTTGAAACACGTGAACGTTTCTTTACAAGATGTTAACAAGCAAAATATTTACGATCAAATCTAAGTATTTGGCACACAGTTGCCCAGGCATGCCGTGGACGCGCGAATCAGATAAAATGTCGTCTTCACTCTGGGCTGTGGCGTCACTCTTCTTCCAAATTCTAACGATCGTAAGGAATGAAGGAATAGAACCGGAAGTTAACATAATCTTGACTCATGTTTACATCGTTTAATAAAATTGTATGGATTATTTATCTTACAATTATATATACCTACAAAATATCAAATTTATAATTTTTAACAATACTTTAACGAACAGTTAACGCATTATCATATATTATTTTTTCTACGTAAATAACAATCCTTTCATGGGAAGCAATAACAAGCCGCTTTTTAATTATTTCTTCTTTATTTAACATTATTGACTAAATAAATAAACAACATATACTCATATCTGGTAAACGACATATATTCATATTTTGTATGTTTATAATGCTTACATAAATGAGAAAAAATTAAAATTATAATGAAGTGCATCATAAGTACATAAAAGATAAATGTTAAGAAGGGATAAAAAATAAAAACTTTTAATTAGCTTTATATGACTTTATGTTATCCATGAAGTAGAGAGATCATTAAGTCCTGCAATTTATTGCACACGTATATTATTAATATTACATAACGGTTACGATATATAACAATTATAAATTCACGCAGCTCTGTTGCCAATATTGTGTTTAAGTAATGCTTGAGACTTACAAATTTATTTTACGTTATGAAGATCGTTTTACGACTTAATTTTACGTGTTGGCATTATTCTAAGCAACATCAATTTTAATGATGGAGATGTAAAAATTTGAAATCTAATTTATGTTACATCATTTTCGTTTTATACGGACATTAATATATAATCTATTCCTCCATTTTGAAACTTGTTCATCAAATAAAAATTAATGGCAACTGAAAAAAGTTATTTATGATACAAATATCTACAAAGAATTCACACGCCTATGTAAGAAACTTAATGCAAGCTTAAAGTGTCAAACCTTAATTAATGCATAGATGGGTAAGTATAATTTCAGTCTAATTCTAGCCTGTTCTTATTATGATACAGCGTAGCTATGTACATAAAAGAAAAAGGTATTGAACTCAAATATAATTTATAAAGATTGGTCATAAACATCAAAAATATTTTGTATCAACTAATTAATATCTTTCAGTTAACATCTTTAATACGTTTGCACGCATGACATAATAATTGAAATTTAATTTTCAACGTCCGAACCATCTGAACTGTATATAGAATCTTCATTTATGAACGATTTTACAAAATTTTTACCGGTGTAATTATCACAATTTTCGATTACAATACGGGCAAGTTCTTTTATACGCTCGTACGGTCTTGGATGGGAAATTAATGTTTCTAATTTCTCATAGCCTCCTTCTCGTATAAGTAACATGCAATATTTGTCGGCTGTAAAAGAAGTAATTAAAATTTTAGTCGAATTTGTTCAAGAAATTATCAGGCAGTAAATTCTCTTTAATTAGCAGTCTTTTTGTTTGTATTAAAGAAAAATATTCGGTCAATAAAAATATATATACAATTGTATAGTAATACGTGTCAATGCATATAGGAAATCTATTGTAATTAAAATGACATTAAGTTTCACAATAACCACTTACGATAAACAGTTGTAAGATTAGCAAGAGCCCAAACTGCCCAATGCTGACATTGTGGCGTATGATATACATCCACTAGACGTAACAAAGGTTCAAATGAGCGATAATTAATATTACGTTCTGAAGATATATCCCATCGTTCAATGGCCTCAGCCATAAGTTCAAGGACATCGTCCCGATTAAATTTCTCTATTCCGATTAAACTTTTCCATGCCTCAACACCATCAGATGCTATGTGAGCCAAAATACCAACAGCATTATATGGTATCTAATAACAGTGAAAAAAATTAAATATTATTTTGAAAATAGAGTTACTAAACTTATTAATACAAAAATATATTCACTATACCTCAATGCTTAATCCGACAGTACGCATCAAACACGTGAAAACACTCATATAAGGTGGATGCATTAGGTGAACCCTAAGACCTCGTACTTCAGCTAGGTTACCAAGTAGTCCTAACATATTTTTAAGTAGCTCTTCTTTCTGAGAATACTGCTGCAAAAATCATTTATTGAAAAATATTGAATACGGCAACTTCTGTTTTTGCTAAGATAAATGAAGTTGATAATATGTACCACGACACATCTATAAAATAATAGCATGCCATTTTCATCAAAAAAACGTTGACAATTTATCGGAGTTTCGTCAGTTACATTCCACAAAGTTGACCATGCTATTTCCATAACGTAGTCGTAGATTTCAGATTCAACCCTGTAGCGTATCAATTCGAGTAGTATTTTGATGCAACCTAAGTTGCCCAATAGACGTTTTTCTCTGCCTGTTACTTTACATGCCAAGGTATTCAAAAGGAATATTCCAATACGTTGTACATAACTTTCATGTGCCGTTCGTTCAACTAAATACAAAAGCAGCTTCACCAATAATTCATAGTGTGATCGCTAGGAAAACATACGTAATGTTTGAAACAATCTTTACATTAAAAACTATAAAAATGTTATTTTAAAGAACAATGATAATGCATACCACATCCTGTGGTAATCGAAATTGATATAGCGTTAAACAACCATTGCGCATCATACATTGTTGATCTCTGTGGATGGACATTCCAGTCAGAAGAGTGCCAACAATTCTTTTTTTCAATTTTGTATCTAATTTGTCGTTTTTTTTCATTTTTACAATATAAAATAGTGCTGCGCTGTATGAACAATGTGCATTAAAATAAAATATCTTGAAATATATGTTTTAAATATATTAAATTAATTATTGGTATCATTTATTGTTTACCTCCCAGGTATTTGTATGTCCTCTTGAGTAGGATATTTCTCCATAGCTTCTAATACTGCACACAGTGCCTGATCCATTCTGTGACAATTTTCATATCTGTACATGTGATATAAATCACTTATTACGTTTGACATTAAATCTTCTTTGCTATTCATATAAACGTGAACAGCAACCAGTATTTGATCTTCATTCGCAGTTCCTGCAATCTATCATTTAAAATATACAAAGTGTCCCACGCAACTGAAACAGGTTGTATCTCCTAAACGGAGAAAATAGAAGCTGTTATAGAACAAAGTTAAATAGTATCGGACGGTGTACAATATGTAAATAACTTTATGCCCTTTTTTACATCAGTGTATCAGAAACATGAAACAGCCGCCTTTTTTTAATTAAAGTGGTACTAGAAGCTGTAACGTATCCTATCGCTTCGTGTTCCTATTTTTCTAAACAAAAATCTAATTTACATTAATACCGTTTATCTTTGATCTATAAAAGTTTCTTTTATTTGCTACCATTTACGAGGTACAATCTGTTCTAGTTGTGTGGGATACCCATATATCAAAACTACACATAGTGCTATTTCTACATATAATATATTGCTGTATTTTTACCAATTTTGCTGGAATATTGTTTTGAGTGCAAGGTGTATCAGTAAATACCCCATAGAGTCCTAAAAATTCTAAAGGTCTATTTATTCTTGAAGCAAGACCTGGTATATCACAAACAGTATTATTATATCTTTCAGAACTTTCAGATAGTTGGTTTCCACAATCATCTACTTTCGTTCCTGCTAAATTTGTGCCACTAATATCCAAAGAGGTCAGTTGGGGTAAACCATTTATGATCTCAGACAAGAGTTTGGTAGGGTTTGTAAAAATCCCATCTTGTAGATGAATTTGAGAAATATCCAAATGCCTAACAACAGAAGTAAATCAAAAACTTTATGTAATACATCATTCATTATAAAAATGTATGTATAAACAATTACTTACCTCAACTTTTTTAAATTACAAATATTGTTAACAAAAGCTTCGGCTTGAGATGTAATCTTAACATTATATAAAACTAAAGATATTAAATTGGGCACTTCAGTGTAGAAATCAAAAGTGCCCACATCAAAGCTATAGGACAAATCCAAGTGTGTTAAATTTGTTAATCCATTCAACAGGATCTTATATTTTGAAGCACAAATTCTAGCATATTCCAAAGTTAAAATCCTTAGATTTGGTACTTTAAATACATATCCTCTTTCATAATATTCTAATAACCAAAGAAAACATACATATTAATATAATAAATACAGTATTTTATATATGAACTTCAA